TGTTCTGATGACTTTATTGAAGAAGAAATGAACTAGGTGAAGATAACACTGTAGCAAAATGGTTATCCGTTAAATTTCATAAATAAATACATGTTAAAACCCAGAGAAAAGATAAAGGAAGATAATGTTGCTAATATACTTTTATATTTTAAGCTAAGCTCCAAATTACGCATACCATAGGTGGTATCAACACAATAAAACCTGACCCATATGTTCAAAAGAAATATGTACATCCACTTTATTTGCCTTTCTCCATTTTCCTATCACACATTTCAATTTCCCACCTCTTTCTTCTATACTGTAATTAAACTTGATAAACAATCATTTTCTTATGTTATTAGTTTTACACCCTTCTTTATTCATATCACAACCGGTAGTCATTTTCAAATGTGATGTTACATCACATTTGTAATTCGTTATTCACCCTTACATTCACCTTTAGTATACACACACACACACACACACACATTGATGCCCCAGTAAATGTATACAAATCAATCATCACCCCTAGATCTCATCTCCTTATTTCGTTATTATTTCGTCCATTCTGATTTCATTAAGCAGATAACACAACAGACTGATTACCGTGCACACTAGCTGATGACTGAAGGTGAAATGAAAATTTGGACCACGACCAGATTCGAACCAGAAACCACTAGATTTCCGGCTTGATGTTCTACCAACTCAGCTACGAGAACCTAACTCAGAAGTGCGAATTTTCATTTCATCTTCAAACATCACCACGCAGTATCAATACTAATCTGCCAAACTACGACTATCTCAGATAATCACATGATTACCATTCCATTCACTGACTCTTTCAATAATGCAATAATCGTGAGCTAACAGAAGTTGGAAATATGGAGCATTGGATTCTGACCCGGTAGCTCAGTGGTAACGTGCTGACCGCGGGACTTGGAGGTCACGGGTTCGATCCCTGCTGGTGGGGTCGTGGGTGCGCACTGCTGAGGAGTCCCATACTAGGACGAAACAGCTGTCCAGTGCTCCCAGGTTCCCTTTGTTCCTCCAACTGATGTCAGTCTTCGATGAATAACAACTTGCAATAATTGTACATCATGTATTACTTCGGCTATTGTGTTTCACTTATTCTCATAGATTTATAACTACAAATCCTAAAGAATAAACTATTAAAAACAATTGTTCGCTCTAATTATCCCTCTTTTGAATAATTTATTGACTAGTCAGGAGATTTTATGTTGTCTGTTGTGAAGAACGTGAGTCAATCGAAGTAGTACACTTTGGTCAGTAACTAATCGCCTCATGAGTAAAATATTTATTTCTACGATCACCTTATACAGCCAAGCTCAAAAATGTGATGAGCGCTGATGGATGAGACTAGTTGAAGTTGTTGAGATCTTCAGGGTTGATGAGTCATTATGATCGGAGGAAGGGAATAACGTAATGTAGGATTGTGGTAATTGAGCAACATACCAAGCCTACATTATGTATAAAGTTTGAGCACTATGCTAAGCAGTTTGTGGGAGTCAGTAAGACCTTCTCGATGAATATTTCACGTTTGATCTACTCGAGTGGACTGAAGTCTTGTGACTCACCCTGACAGAGGGAATTATTACCACTGGTATACTAGATTATCCTTGAATGATACTTTCTTCAACCTTCATAACTATTCCTATGTAATGCCGCGCAGCGGATGATAGACAACACCGGTAGCATTATGAATGAATATATTCAGTGGTAGATGAATAAATTTATTGATACATAGTTGTTCAATGTGATTTGGAGCTGAGGACAGTTACTAGACGACTGTAGTATATAAAGTTTTAGCAATACCATGAACTGACAGAAGTAGATGTGAAACGCTTGACTTTTGTCTAATGACTCAGTAGTATTTTGCTGTCTACGAAACCTGAAGTTTGCAGTTTCGATCCCTAGTGGTGTCGTGATAGCGTACTCCTACAAAACTGCATCATAGGACGAATCAGCTATCTCGTGCTCCCAGATTCCCATTTGTTCTCGAACTGACGTCGGTCCGTAATGATTCAGAAATAGCAGCTAGTTTCAGTTTGATTTACACTATTTTTATGTTGAAGCTTGGTTTAAATAAGTATTCATCTATATGACTTGTTTCCAAGTGATTTTTAGGCAGCTCATCAAAACCTGAACGTTGTTAGTGTTTGCAAGTCATCCGGTCTGTATCGTTCACTTTACTATACAAGAGTAGCAGCAGTAACATGTATAAGTGTGGTTGTATTAGATACGAGCATTTAGCCTGACCAAATTAACGCTGTCGAAATGTTTCAGCAGTGTTAAATCTAAACGTCTGTCAACAATTTCCGGCATAATTTCAGTTCCCATATCAGACTGTCTGATTGATTTTAAAGGCCATTCAAGCAACGACTGGACTAGTCGATGAGGTTTGTTAGGAAGTCAGATTTCTATAAAATAAAGAAGTGTTATTGGTTATTTCAGATGTTGTCAGAGTAACCTTTAGCGTCAGCCGGTTGTTTCTTTTCTGTTCCTTTCTGCATTCTTCGTTTATGTAGTCAGTAACCCTGATACACACGAAATGGTTTCCAGCACAAGATGATCTTTCACTGTTAATCGAATGGCTTATGTCCCCCTTTCAGTAATGACTTCCATTCCAAATGAACTGCTCACTTATCCTGACTTTGAAGATTTTACAGGCGTCAATATTTGTCACTTCCTGTTATTCAGTTGACAAGGCACTGATTAGCTGACTAGAGAGTGGTAAGTTTGAATTCTGAAGTGATTGAATGTGGTTTTCTTTCCAGTTTCAGTCATTCACCTTGAGAGGAAATATTCTGAACTCTATGTCAAGGTCAACTTGGATGACCTCAGCTTTGTGATTAAAATTGAAATGCACTCAGCAATGATGTGTACATTCATGCAGTAGGCAATGAGTCACACCTATTGCCTGAGTGTTAGTGATACCCACTGTATAGTATTGATGGGTAGTGGCTAGCAGTGGAATCCAGGATGAGAATTTCGTCCTATTTGGGACTCATCAGCTAGATGTAACTGCCTCCTGAGCATCTTGGATTCCCCTGCTAGCCACTATCCATCACAGGAGCCCATATGCCAATACAGACTGATCAATTCGGTCCAATTAACGACGGTATAATAAGAGCAATAACACTAAATTTCATTATTGTTTCACTCTTACATTCCAAGAATTCATTTCTATAACGCAAAGATTTTGTACTAAATAAAACTTATTATCTAAAAAGTATTATGAAAGTGAAATTTGGTTGAATTACGTCATCAAAGTTCCCTCTTTGTTTAATGCTTCAATAAACATACTTAAATGGGAAAAGAATTTAAAGGCAAACCTAGTAACTACCTAAATAACCAATTACGTTTCACCTGGAAAGTTGCTTTTTTCATAGACTAAAGAATATAACTGTTTGGTTATTTCAGTCGTTGTTAGAGTGGCCCTTAAAGTCACTTTAAACGTGAATATCATTGACTTTTGAATAAGCTGTATGCTAGAAAGTTCAATCTCTCTCTCTCTCTTTGAATTATTGATTATGTTAGTAAGACATCATTCACCTATGTTGACACAAATAACTGAATGTAAATTCTGAAGAGGGTTTACCAGTCAGTATTCAAGTACATTGATTGGTTACTGCAAAAGCAACCAATTTCATGTTGCCGAGTCGAGAGTGCTGACTGAATACTAACAACCATCTTGCTCAGTGGTAGCGACACTGAGTAACGCAGCTTCGAATATCACAGTGGAAATTAGCACTCTCGAGATTGAAGATGCACCTTGCTAACGAGTGCCAGCGAATATAAAACCTAAATCCAAGGTTTCCTGCTGACTGCCTCCAGCCAACTAAGTACTCAAGTTGCTAATGAAGTCTACTCTGATAAATTTGAGGTTAAATACTCATATCTTAGTGTCTAGTAAACATAATGGTGAATTTAACTCCTCCTACATTAATATATATATATATATATATATATATATATATATATATATATATATATATATATATTTCTCCAGGAAATTCGGAACTAAAGCGAACAAGCGGTTCGCCAATAATAAACCAAACGCTCAAGTTACACATATTATTCAAAACACACGATTTGTCTGAAATACAGTTCTACATAAATGACAAATAATGACGAATAAACTAGAAACCTCGAATCGTGAGGTATCTCTGAGTTTATCGCCATCAAAACACCTTACACTGAGTTCGTCAATGATCAAAGCAGCAGGGCTGTATCCAAAGTAATCCTGCGTATGATCCCACGATGTAGTAAAGACATAAGTTAAACAGATGTTCCAAGTAGAATAGAATATCAGGGAACAACGAATGGAATCCTAACACCATCAAGAACGAGGAAAGCTACTCATAGAATGTAGGGATATTAAGTGATGAATAAAATACGATTCAATATGATTGCGAACATTATAGGAAAACATGATCACACTACTCAATAATATTAAGTAGTATACATCTAAAGATATAAAAAGAAATACACATGGGTAATATTATGCAGTTTTGAGTATTGTGAAAATTGTTTTGACTAAATGTTGCAAATACTCTTTTCTGAAGGAGTCAGACAAGCTAAATTTATCAGTTTATTAAATAAATCAACAGTTTTTTAGCCATCTTGAATCACTTCGATACACCTATGAAAAGGTTTCACCTTCCCTGCCAGAAAGCAATAAAACAGTCTAAACAGATGCTATGAAACTCTAAGTCTCTTGTACTGATTAATACATAGAAAGTGTTAATTACCTTTAAAAAAAAATCATCATTGTCTTTTAGTGAATACAATTAAGAATGTAGATGTAGGTTGTTGAAAATCCAACTACTGAGAAATAACACTATTTAATAGCAAGCCAAAATTACTCTACATAATATGAACAGGAAATTCAGTATGGATAAGCATTTATTTCAACGAACTAACTTATATGAAGAAAACAAGTTTACATTTTGCATTTTATCGGTATTGATATTGTCGTCGGTATCATCATCGGTGTCTTTTTATTTTTCTCCAGTGAAAATATCTCTTCTTTTTCTATCAGATTTATACAAACGATATTGTTGATAATCTTCTTGAGCTTTCTTACGTAAACTACCTACTGAAATTGACAATTCTGGTTTACACCATAAAGGTAAATTAACTGGTTCCAATTTATTATTTCCTTTTCCCCATATATTACCATGATTTATACATGTACACTTGCAGTTGATTGGTTTGTTTAAAGTTGTAAACGGCTGAAGAAGATTTCGTCTACCATTATTATGTATTGGACATGTATTTAAATTGTACTTGCTGAAATGAACACATTCATTTGCTTTCACTTCTTGATTGGATTCAATTTGATCATACTTGTGGAAATGTTGTAGCTGTAATCGAGTCAATGGTAAATGAAGTTGTTTTAAGCGTTCACATTCAAATATATACCATAGATTTATTGATTTCACAGGTTGTGTAGAATGTGTCATTAGTCAATAAAATAACTGAAATATGTATGAAAAATAGATATAGGCAGTAAATAGTCAGAATATGTTACAGATTGTTATCACGTTCAACTGCTTTCTACTACTAAGAATTTAAATCATAATGATATTACAGCACTTGTCTAAATGACCTTGAAATTATTGACCCAATCAAATTGTGAGAAAAATAAGCATATATAATTGCGCTGATAAAATCATTTGATTCCTTTATCGAAGTAAAAAAAGAAACGGTAATTATTATAATAGAAGAAATGAATAAATAAATAAAACAATTGAAAATAAAAAAATTAATTTCATTAAAAGTACAAGCGTAAATAAATACATATGTATATTATTTGATCACATGGAAAAGAAATGGCTACTAAACACTCATTCTGCATGCAATTATCTATTTTATGGTTAATACTTATGACTAGTGAAATGTCAGTGAGATGGAAGATGATATATATATATATATATATATATATATATATATATATATATATGATTATTGTTACTTTCTACTGTTATTCTTACAAGTTTGTCCTTTTACAGTTTTAATATGTGATAAACATTTATTAGAAATAGTATTCATCATGGACTGACATCATTTGGGGAACCATTGAAAGTCTGATAGCACTGGACAGCTGAGGAGTCCCATACTAGGATGAAACAGCTGTCCAGTGCTCCCAGATTTTCAATAGTTCAACTGATGTCAGTTCATGATGAATACTACTTCTAAATTAAAAATCCCCATTCGTCTCAAAGTATATACTAGATAACGTTTGAGTTAATTTTAGAGGGGAAATAAGAACGCTATGACTTGTTAAATGAGATCTACACATTAGCTTAAATGATTTCTGACTACTGATATTGTACAATAATCTATTTTGTTTTATTCAGTCACATAATTCCATTGAACACTGAACACTGATCATGTTAAATACATATGTTTAAAAATATTTGGTAGTGAATGATCAAACCCCTTGACAAAAGAATTCGAGTCTCTTTTCTGACCTTCAACAAGTAAGTGGAAAAATATGGAATGTATATTAATTGTGTAGCATAAGAATCATTCTCCTAGTTATCTTTTTCTCATTCCGAGATAGAATTGCCTTATGAGGATCTTTGAATGAGATGCCAGATATCATGTTAGAAATCATTTCACCGAAGATTTACGATTTGAAACAGAATGGAACCATTAAATTCATATTCTGCTTAGTCAGTCTGTAATAGGATCTACAAGTGATTATGTAACTGATAGGTGCAAACACAAATTTATTTTGTTAACGAAATATAGCCATTATTCAGAAAGTGTAAATTTTTGGTGGAAATGTTTTTCGTTCAAGTCTAGTCGTGCACAAACCCAAGATGACATGATTTTAACGCAAGTAGAAGCTATACTTCCATCAAGTGATGGAGTGACAGTTATCGTACAGTGTTAACTACTTTTTCGGATTTTAAAATAACATAAATTATTTTACGAAAATGAAAATATTAGGCGGAATAAAGGGTTAACAAATTTAGAAAATCGGTAATTCAATGTAGAACAGAATGTGTATTTAGACCGACAAAGAAAGAGTGGTAATTTGTGAATAACAGGTAAATAAAAACTCAACATCATCATCACCATCATCAGCATAGAACCATGTATTACTGCACACCGGTTCAAGTTGCCACACATTATATCAGCACAACAAGTAACATAGCGGGAAGGTGAAAGATGAAGAAAGAGAGGAAAATCAACGAAAAACAGTAAAAAGTAGTAAATTATGGGGTATACATCATCAAAAGTATCCTACTACTGATTTCTGCAGTCCAACAGTCAAGGACTTCATGCAGTGATACCAAGTTTTAGTCTGACCACCCCGAGCCTTTTTCCAGCCAACATTACGTGAGGAGGTAGACAGTGACTAGGCATGTGTAACATGTCACAACCACCCGTGTCAGTGGTGCATAATCTTATTGCCTGACTTTTCTGGTCTGCTTAAAACTCTACACCTGGCCTCTTCGTTACTCATGTGGCGATACCAGGACACACGTCTGATACTACAAAGGCAACAGTGGTCAAACACCTGGAAGCCTTTCATCTCCACCACCTTTAATGGCCATGTTTCACAACCACAAAGAACAGAGCAAACTACAGTACAGTATACTCAACTCCTAATGGATAATCATATACTGAGGTGGCACCACAGACGACGTTATTTGGCTAGATCAAACTGATATATCTTTGTGTTCAATATATATATATATATTTCAAAGCCAGGATCGGAAAAGCACGACAGGCTTTCATCAATCTGAAATCATTGTGGAGGTCTACTGCACTTTACTCAGCATAAAGTGTGAACAAGATCAGGATTTTCAACACCAATTTGAAGTGATTGCTGCTATTTGGTTCTGAAACTTGACGCATCGTGAAAAGGATTTCCAACAAACTACAGACATTCATCAACAGCTGCCTACGCTGGCTCCATACTGAAGATCAGATGGTCAGAAAGGATAAGCAACAAGGAACTCTGGCTGGGCAACGAACCAATCAAGAACCTATCACCCAACAAATATGCACTGGAAGAAAGTGGAGATGGATTGGGAATACACCGAGAAGGCCACCCAGGGACGTCACGTGCTAGGCCAGGTTGTCGAGTGGAATGCAAAGGGGAAACGAGGAGTTGGGAGTCTAAGGCGAGGGTGACATGGAGAAGATCGTGTGGGGAAGAAATAAAAGCTTCTGGGCAGTCGTGGTGCCAGGTTCAAAAGACTGAAGAGAGTGCAATAGAGGCGTGTTACTGAAGCCCTATGTTCCATTAGCAACCCAAGGGGAAAATTATGTATATATATGAGTGGACTCTTGAACAGTAACCTTTGACTTCATCGTTGATGAACTCTCGGTTCTTTGAAAACAGAAAAGATGCGGCGAAAATGACAAAGGTTTATTATCCAGTCGAATATGTCAAAAATTAATGGTTTATCTATATTTGTTGATCACCTTGGAAAGTTCTGCACTTTTCTAGAGAGCATTTTGACTAATCTGAGTCTTGTATATACGATCACTTGGCCTTGTTCGGACGTTCGACATGCCATGATTGGTTGTGAAGGCTTTTAAGGTATATCCAGACCTCTTTGGGGAATCTAGAGGATGTTGTTGCATTCCATAACACCAATTAACCAAATAAACCGAAATTATCAATAAAAAAATCTATGTGGTTACCACAAACACTGAATTTAAATCAGACGACATATAAAGTTATCACTAAACAACCTAAGTCAAACAGTCATAACTGAAAGTATTTGTTTGTCGATACAAATTAAAACAAGAAACTGAAGTGACTGAGTGGAAGAATAAGAAATATGCGAACGATACTAATATAATGAGACACTTGGGCTGGGTACAAATAATGACTGCTCTCCCTCACTACCTTATACTTCAATGATCCCTGAAAATACTAGAAGACAGGGTTGGCTAGCGACCGTAAACAAGACACGTTTCACAGGTACTCGTTGTCCTAAATCTTACCTCATAAGCACAAGTGGATTACTGCTTACCGTCCGCAAGGCGTTCTTTTGGAACTAAATAACACCAACGTTGTCGAAATCATACATTATACACTGAAACTCCACAAGTTGTCCCGGGAAATCCTAGTGCGTTGTGCAATACTCAGTCTTATGCTACGTAGTGGTGACTGTATTCAAGAGTGCATTCAGAAGCCGCTGTACCATCGTAACAATAAATCTGAACTGAGTGATTATATTACCTTAACTTCCATATTCTGCAACCTAACTCCCGTCGCATGTTCACTCATTAAAAGGAATATGCAAATCAAAGCTTTTACTGACAGTTATTCTGAAGAATGCATTGTAAGGGACATCATGGAGTTATTACTTGTTTCCCTAGACCCTATATGGTATAACTGTAGGTTTCACATGGAGTGCAATTTAAGTACTGTATACAAACAAATATCCTTCTAGATATAGTTCACGTTTCACTCCGTTAGCTGATACAGAAGAACGAGCAGCAAAATTTGTCACTGCAGAACTACATTCCACAATCAATTGCATCCCTCCTCTCATTGAGCTGCTCATGGAATCCATATCCAAGAAGTTTTTTTCTCTAGTGCCATCCATATGACGATAACCCCTGGCAGGAAGGTAATGCACCTGAAAATTATAGGGACTTTCATTAAAATGGATAATTTGCATTTTTAACTTCCACAGTTGTGCACATTTCACTTTCACATCTCAGATAAAGATAAACTACAGCACAAGTGAATTTCTAATTGGTGACAGGAACAGAACGGAAAAAATCTTTTCTAAGGGTCATTTCATATGCTATTTGAACGATTTCTTTCATCCTCTTAAATATGATTATTTTCTTTTTGCAGAATTTAAAACAAGTGACTAAAGTGATCGAGTGAGATAATAAGAAGTATGCGAACGTTACTAACACAGTGAGACATAAGACAAGGTTGGTCTGTGACTGTAAGCAAGCCACTTTATTCAATACAAAAATATATAGTTTACAAAAAACACTTTTCATGAGCATATAAAATTACTAGGTCAGAAATTAAGTAACTTATTTTGATTGGTCGACAGTAGGACAAAACTGTTCAATAGAGTTTTTCTTGACCACACAGAGGCATGAAATCAGAAATGAAATACAAAACCTTCTCGGTTAGCTACTGAAAACTTAAAATGTTGATTTCCATTTGGGCTGTTTCCTATCAGAGATGAGTGAAAAAAGTAGAATTTCATAAATTCATAAATTTTGGTAGAACTTGTCAGCTCAACATTCAATATATATGACTATGTACACCACTAGGCAATTCAAGAGAACATACATATACATACAACGTAGACTTAGACATCGATTTAGGTGTAATAATATAGAAATGAACAATTTTTTACAAGTCAGGTGATAGGAATGAATGTTCAAATTGAATAGACGACTAATGATAAATTGAAGTTGGATAGCAGTACAGTCTAAGAAATCACATGAACGTCGGTTA